CGTGGGAGCAGAGCAGAGAGCCCCTGAGGGAGTACAAAGGACAGACTCGGGGGCCAGAGCATGGTACCCCATGGGTCCTGACTGAAGGACAGGCCTAGAAGCTGTGACTCTTGACGGGGGCAGGCGTCCTTCTTCCTCCCTCGGAGGAGCTGGTGAGTTCCCACTGCCGACGTTGAGGTTGGCAGCCCAGTACGTAACCCACATCCCCACCAGGGCTTCACTTACTATCCAGAAGATATCAAGAACTGCCCAGCAGCTCCTACTGATTAGCAGCAGAAAGACACACAGCCTAATGAAAAGTGGGCCGTTTCGCAGCCTGAGTCATTCCCTGGTCAAGGAGGACACACAGAGTCGCCATCCTTAGGCAGGACGGAAATGCCTACCACAGCCGCATGGTGAGACCACTCCACACCCAGCACATGGCTCTAGGAATCATTTTTTATCAGACAACACAAGACTTAGCAAGGACGTGGAGAATTGGAGAAGACCGAGGTTGGCCATTTCTCCCAAAAAGCTAGATGCAGAATAACAATAAAAAACTTCAAACCGAAGGCACTGCCAACACGTTGGTTAATTCTGACGCACAGTGACCCGGCAGGACAGGGTAAAACTGACCCTGCGTGTGGGCTTCGGAGACTTGAACGCCACTGGAAGAGAAAGCCTCACCGTTCCCCCTGGGAGCTGGTGGTTCCCGACTGCTGACCTTGGGCGTTAGCATAATCGTAAAATAAAATTTAAAAACTCACTGCCGTCGAGTTGGTGCCAACGCGTGTTTGCAGTTTTAACCACCAGCTGCTCCGTGGGAGAAAGACAGGGCTTTCTGCTCCCCTGAACAGTTACATCTTGCCTCGGGAACTCCACGGGGCAGTACTACCCTGTCCTTATAGGCTGGCTGTGGAAATAACCATCAACAAGGTCAAACACTCACTGCGATCCAGAGACAGACCCTCTGTGGGTTTCTGACACGGCAGCTGCCCTGGGCATAGACGGCCCAGTCTCTCCCTCTTGGAGGTGCTGGTGGTTTTGAACTGCGCACCACGGGAATCGCACCCAACAAGTCACCACGACACCACCAGGGCTCCAAGATTAACCACCAGACCCAGTAATTCCACTCTCGGGCATCCCAGAGGGCTTCCAAACGTGAGTGGGGAAATGGAATGAAAAGATACAGGAACTTTTCCACAGCCGGCCCGCAGCCCCCTCACGAATCAGTCAGATCCTTGGACACGGGTGTTCCTCACAGCACTGTTCACAACTGCCTGCCAAAAGGTGGAGGCCGCTGGGCGTCACCCCCATCTGAGGGATGCACTGTGCGCTGCGGCTATCTATGCAATGGAGTTTTATTCAGCCCTAAAGAGAGAGTCTGACACATGCCATGTGGATGAGGCAGCCCTCATGGGGCAAGGACAAGTGCAGGACTCCATCCGTGTGAGAAAGGGAGAGCCGGGCGCCCCGGAGACAGAGGCTGAGGGTGGGGCGGCAACTCTGTAAGGCAAGGTGACACTGGTTCTGTCTGGGGAGATGAAAGTGTTTCAGAAACACAAGGCAGACTAAAACAGCTGCACCACCGCGGGGACCTTACGATGCCACGAGACTGTATGCTGAAAATGGTGAAGATGGTGAATCTTACGCTACAGACGTTTTGTCTCCATAAAAACCAAACCAAACACAATGAATCACATGACTAGGCCAGGGAGTTTCAAAGGGTTCAGGAAGATGTTCTCTTTGAAGCTCCCTGGTCTGTGAGCTAGCACAGCATAACCTGAAGCTGTGATTTCTCTCCTGGTGGTATCCACCTCCAAGTCTGTGGCCCACCCACAGGAGCTGCACATCCAGTCCCCAGCTCCCCTCCAAGCCAGGCTTAGGATGAATCCAGGTGTTTCTTCCCTTCAAGGCACCCTGCTGGTGCACTGGGTAATGATTTCAGGTTAATTGAACCATCAGTAATTAGAATCTGCCAGCCACCCCTCCAGGGGAAGTTAAGGCCTCGGCTCCCGTAAAGATTTATAGCTTCGGGAACCCACAGGGACAGTTCTCCTGTGTCCTACAGGGTCACTGCGAGTACACACTTGGCACATGTACATGTACACACAACACCCAGCATTCACACCCCATCTACACCTGCGTCTATGCACGCACACTCCCATACACAGATACACACACACCACAGAATGCCACTGCTCGTGGGAAAGACCCATCTGAGTGGGGAAGGAAGTGTGGGCCCAGCTTGGGTGGAGGGAGGACCCCAAGGAGCCAAGGACCCATTCCTCACAGCCAGTGTTCAGCTCTGTGAAGCCCACGGTCCAAGGTGCTGGCCAGCTGTGGGTCTGGGAAGCTGTGTTTTGTACTCCCGGTATTGTGGGGTGATCCAAAAGGAATTGATCACTGAGCGAACCCCAAGGATGATGGAACACCCGAGAGGGGCAACTTCTACCTGAACCTGCTCCCTCAGAAAGGTGTATAGTTCCCTGAACAGGGGTCCTGCGGTCACTGGCTGGGGGACGGGAGTGTCCTTCCTCCACAGGCCCCTTGGCAAGGAACCACGTACACATCAAGTCCTAGCGCACACACGTCTGTGCACTGGAGACCAGCCACTAGCAAGCACGGTGGCAGGCCCTCCTGGAAGCCGGGAGCTGCCTGAGACCTTCCAGGGACATGCCAGCATGGACCCTGTCCACTGTGCCGCCTTCACGCAGGCCAGGGCTTCCCCAGGGCACAGCCCGTTTAATGCCCAACTGGCTTCCAGCTTCCAGTACGGTCAGCTTCATTTTCTAATTATCCGTCTTAATTCTTCATTGAACACCTGGAGGTGCCAGCCACCCATTTCAAATAAGAGTGCTCGTGAGTAACAGGCCTGGAGGATAATTAGGGCGCAGAAAACACCCTTTAATCTCCCCACACAGAGAGGACAGAGACAAACCCCACTGGCTGTGCCTTACGAGGAGAAACACCCACCTCAGTCCTTTCTCCCAAGCCCCTGGTGGGCTGGCTCACTAGGCAGGGCTGCCACTTCTGCCTGCAAGGCTGGTCTGCGGGGCTGGGGCAGTCCTTGTCATCCTTGGCGACAAGTCTCCAGGCTTTGTGCTCCCCTCCCCCCGCGGAAGCCCCTTCAGACCCAGAAAATGCAAATCTGGGTCCGAAAGCATTTACCTCGTAAATATGCATGAGGTGACTGGGAAGTTTGCTCCACGACGCTGAGCGCCTCAAAAGTCAAACTTGGTGGCCCTCGGGCATGGAGATCGGTGGCGGGGCAGCCCCTCGTCCCTTCTCGGGACCCACCTACCTCGTCGCGCGGTGGAAAAGGTGGAGACCCCCTGGCTTCTCCACGCGGGCGCCGCCTTTGTCCCGGGGTGGAGCGCGCGCCCCTAAGTCCACTTCGTCCAAAGCGCGCGCTGGGCCGCGGTCCCCGCGTGCCCGCCCCGGGGCGCGGAAGCGGCCGGTGGGCGCAGAGGCGGGGGTGGGCCACCGAGGGGAGTTAGGGGGACGGGTTTCAACCTGAGGGGTGCGGCCCAGGTAGGAGCCGGCGGAGGGGCGCTCACCTGCGGCTGGGAGGGGTCTTTGAGCTGGGGGGTCTCGCCTGGGCCCCCGGAGGCAGGCCATAGACAGCGGCTCACATCCGGGGCGGACTGACCGGCCGCCAAGCGGCCCAGCCCTGCGGACGCGCCCTCACCTGGCGCGCCGACCTGCGGGACCAACCTGGGCGCGCACGCTCCTCCCTCTGGGCCGGCCGCCTGTGCTTTGTTCCAGCGGAGCCGGGGTCTGCCATTTTACTCTGGGGCGGTGGCTCCCACGGGTGTAGACCGGCTGCTCCCCATTCACGCGAGTGTAAGCCCACTCCCCGCTCCCACTCCCACTCCCACCGGAGTGGATGGGCTGCTCCCCCATCCCCAGGAGTGCAGAAGGGCTGCCCCCCCCAACATTGTTCCCATCAGTGTGGATGCTCCACACATCCCTATCTGCAGGGGTAGCCCTGCTGCCCTGACTCCATTCCTGCAGGTGTGGATGGAGTGACACATTCCCACAGGTAGACCGGCTGCCACCCCACACTGTTTCCATCAGTATAACCGGACTACACCTCCACCTGCTGGTGTAGACCAGCTGTCCCCCCTAATTCCAATCTGTGTGGACAGGCCACCCCAATCCCCACGGATGTAAACAAAGACTCCCACACACATACACCTCCCACCAGCGTGGACAGACAAACCCTGGTTGCTGCAGGTGTACAGGAGTCCTACCCCCATGCCAGCAAGTGTGAAAACAGGCCACCCCCATTCTCCCCAGTGTAGATGAGCTACATGCACACACACTGCTCCGGTGGTTTCCTGGGCAGACTCCGTGTGGGGTAAACAGGCCTGAACCTCCCCAGTGGAAGGCTTGAGCGTGGAACCCTGACATCTTCCCACCACTTTCCCATTCCCAGAGGCGGCTGGATCCCCAAATCTAATGCCATCTTTATGGGGGGGCGGGCACCACGGGGGTCAGTCCCAGCTGAGGGTTAGGCCCCATCCACACCCAGTCGGCCTTGTGGGCATCACAAAGGAAAGCCTGTCCTCAGAGGGGCGGGTTCATGGACACCACGTGGCTTCCTGGATTTGAGCATTGGAAGTTTCCAAGGGGACGGTGCTGCCAGGGCATCCTGTGGCACGAGCCGTTCCTCCCCGCGCTTGCAGGCATGTTCACCCTTTTACAGATGTGGCTACTTGGAAGTAGGAGCTGGGTGGTGCCACGGACCTACCAGCTGCTCGCTGAGAAGGGTGTGTCAGACTGTCCCCACGGGGCAGTGCTACTCAGCTTTACAGGGGAGCTGCTGGCGGCGCAGTGGGTGATACCTCTGGCGGTTAACTGCAAAGTCAGCAGTTCGAAACCACCAGCTGCTAGGAGGGTGAAAGATGAGGCTTTCTACTCCCACAAAAAGTTGACAGTCTTGGAAACCCACAGGGCCAGCTCGCACCGCTGTCTCGCAGGGTTGACTCCGTGCAGTGAGAACGGAGTTCAGAATGAGCTCCGCTCGACTGGCAGCCATGGGGCTGCCTGGCAGACTGGCCATTACCTCTTTTCACCTAGTTTGTCCCTTATTGCGCCATTGAAAAACCCAGAACCAGACCCACTGCCATCGAGCTGACTGGGACTCACGGCGGCCGGACACGGGGTTGCCCAGGCTGTAAGTCCTGACCAGGGCAAAAGGCTTCCTCTTTCTCCAGAGGAACAGCTGGTGGCTTCCTTAGGTTAGCAATATACTTACTGTACCCTATGTTAAAAGGAATGAGTACATTGTTAACCTGGTGACGTAGTTGGGCTGCTAACTGCCAGGTTAGCAGTTCGAAACCTCCAGCCCCTCCTCGGAAGAAACACGGGAATTTCTACTCCTGTAAAGTGAACGAACACCAGAGGGCCAGTTCTCCCCTGTGTCCTACAGGGTCGCTGTCGACTCCACTTGGGGAGTTTGGCTGGTTTAGGTCATTAACATCATGTCAGAAGCCATTCCAAGAGGGCTGTTTCCCACAACCAATGAGACACAAGCAAGGGGGCTCAACTCCCCTCCTGGAGGCAGCTCCCCGAGGGGGCGGGCCTCAGTGTGTGGCCCTGCAGCCCCTGTGGTAGGGTGGAGGCTCTGTCCCCTGCACCCTTTGACACAGCCGCGCAGCAGCGATGCCTGTGTCCTGTGCTAGCCACACGTGTGCGCGTGTGTGCGCGCTGTGAACCAAGACGTGAAGCGTCTGGCGCTCACAAGGGAAGGCTACCTTTCTCCGACCCCCTCCTGCCACCATCCAATGGGCTGCTTTCTCAGCCGGCCGCCAAGCCAGCGTTAAGCAAACATTCAGACTGTCTGGCTACTTCCTACCTCTGGGGGTAAAACGACCTGCAACCCCCAGCCTGGGAGTCACTCTCTTGTTTGCTCTTAGTCTTACCACCCCCACCCCCCCATGGGACCTCAGAGGCAGGGTCGCCCAGCGACTGCAGGGCCTCAGGTCCCAGCAGGACAAAGCTGGGACACAAAGAAGGCTGAGGGGGAGGCAGACATTCCTGGGGCCTGGAATGCTAGCTATTCACATGGTCGCTCTGAAAGGAGGGCTGGCGGGCTGGTGCACACGGGCTCAGACTTGCTAAGCCCACCTCTCACTCCACGCACGGGATTGTCCCGGACTGGTCAGCTCTGACCAGCTCAGGGAGCGAGGCTGGCAGGAGCCACCTGTGATTCTTGAGGCCACAGCTGCCCGCCCTGGGTGAGGACAGACACCTGCTCCCTGTGGGTCAGGGCTTCACCCCTCACTGTGCCCCCTCCCCGCCATGGCCAGGCCCTGCGAAGGAGTCCATCCTGCGGGTTCTCCCTGTGGCTGTGGGGTTGGCGGTGTAGGCCTCCGGCCAGCCCGGCACCTGCCCCCAATGCTGCCAAGGCAACGTTGTGGTGGAGCACAGTGGGACCAGGCTAAGAGTGACCGGGACCAGGGAGAGGCTGGGCTCAGTGGACCACACAAAGCCCACGCCCAGCACAGCCCAGACAGCCAGCCATGGTCTGGAGGTGGCGGGCACCTGGGCCGGGTGGGGCACCTGCACATTCCTGTGTGTCTGAGGTAGACCTGTGCACTGGGTCCGACCCCAGCGGCTGCTGGATGCCTCGGGAAGGCGGGTCCGCCCCAAAGCAGGAAGAAGGCAGCGGAGCCAGGCCCACTAGGTGGGTCCATGCCAACCGTCCGGGAGGAGCAGGACACAGTCAGCACCCACCTTGTTCAGTACTTTTCCTCCCAGGACATCTGTGTGCCTCCACCTCCACCCAGAGGGGACTGCCATGCAGCCTCCCTTTCCAGCCTCAGCTCCTTCACAGGCAATGCCAAGCAGAACTGGTGCCTGGACCTGGTTCTGAGGTATGCTAGGTGTGTGAAGGGAGCGCTGGGGTCCTGTAGGGGTTAGAGATCAGACTACTAACCACAGGTCAACGATCAAAACCACCAGCTGCTCCGCTTGGAAACAAGAACATTGCAGTCAAACATGGGAAGCAAGACATTTCAGAAACGACCTATCTTGAAGCCCCCGGCTGTCTGGGATCGGGCAATACCTGGGCACCTGCAAGGAAGTCCAATGACTGCAAGATTATTCAAATCTACACACCCATCACTAGAGCCAGCGGTGAAGAAAGTGATAAACCCCACCACGTCTTGCATCTGAAATTGACCAAGCATGCGATCAAGAGGCATTGCTCATCATTGGCATCTGGAATGCCGACGCTGGAAACAGAGGAAGGGACGAGACGGCCTTTGTGAGAGAAATGAAACCGGGGTCTGCATGAGAGAACTGTGCAAGGCCAGCGAGCCGTCGTCGTCACAAATCTTGTTCAACACAGACGGTGATCGCACCCATGGACCCTGTCCCAAGGAATCCACGGGGATCCGCGGACTACATCTGGGGCAAGAGGCCGCGCAGAGGCTCGCTGTCAGCAGCCAAAGTGAGGCCAGTCACGCTGAGGATGGCGCTGAAAACATTACAGCACAGTAAGGCCCTGAGTCCACCCCACCC